TGGTTAATGTGTGATTGAGGGGTTGTTAAGGTGTGATTGAGGGGTGGTTAAGGTGTGATTGAGGGGTGGTTAAGGTGTGATTGAGGGGTAGTTAAGGTGTGATTGAGGGGTGGTTAAGGTGTGATTGAGGGATGGTTAAGGTGTGATTGAGGGGTGGTTAAGGTGTGATTGAGGGGTGGTTAAGGTGTGATTGAGGGGTGGTTAAGGTGTGATTGAGGGGTGGTTAAGGTGTGATTGAGGGGCGGTTAAGGTGTGATTGAGGGATGGTTAAGGTGTGATTGAGGGATGGTTAATGTGTGATTGAGGGATTGTTAATGTGTGATTGAGGGGTGGTTAAGGTGTGATTGAGTGGTGGTTAAGGTGTGATTGAGGGGTGGTTGAGGTGTGATTGAGGGGTGGTTAAGGTGTGATTGAGGGGTGGTTAAGGTGTGATTGAGGGATGGTTAAGGTGTGATTGAGGGGTGGTTGAGGTGTGGTTTAGGGATGGTTAAGGTGTGATTGAGGGGTGGTTGAGGTGTGATTGAGGGGTGGTTAAGGTGTGGTTTATGGATGGTTAAGGTGTGGTTTAGGGATGGTTAAGGTGTGATTGAGGGATGGTTAAGGTGTGGTTTAGGGATGGTTAAGGTGTGGTTTAGGAATGGTTAAGGTGTGGTTTAGGGATGGTCAAGGTGTGATTTTGGGGTGGTTAAGGTGTAGTTTATGGATGGTTAAGGTGTGATTGAGGGGTGGTTAAGGTGTGATTGAGGGATGGTTAAGGTGTGATTGAGGGGTGGTTGAGGTGTGGTTTAGGGATGGTTAAGGTGTGATTGAGGGGTGGTTGAGGTGTGATTGAGGGGTGGTTAAGGTGTGGTTTAGGGATGTTTAAGGTGTGATTGAGGGGTGGTTAAGGTGTGATTGAGGGATGGTTAAGGTGTGGTTTAGGGATGGTTAAGGGGTGGTTGAGGGGTGGTTGAGTGGTAAGTATCACGTGTTTCAAGAGTTGAGTTTATTATTATCACCAACCCTTGTTATTAACTAGGAAATAGAAATACGTGTAAGAACAACATAGCTTTTAGAAGAGTGGGGCAATAAGCTGGTAGACGATTTGGCCAACATAGCTCATAGTAGAGTGGGGCAACATAGCTGGTAGTAGAGTAGGGCAACACAGCTGGTAGATAAGTGGGGCAATATAGCTGGTTGAAGAGTGGGGCAACATAGCTGGTAGAAATGTGGGACAGAATAAATGGAAGAAACATGGAGGACACGTAGCTGGCAGAAGAGTGTGGCAACAGCTTGCAGAAGAGTGGGACAAAATAGCAGGTAGAAGACTGAGGTAACATATCCGGTAGAAGAATAGGGTATCACTTTTAATAAATAATTATTTTTTTTAATTAAAAAGTTTAAAATTATATATTTAAAAATAAATATTTAAAAAATAAATAAATTGGGGCTTGGAGCAGCCTCGGGGAAATAAAAACCTGCTCCAGGATGCCAGACAGAAAGATCCTGCTCCAGGATGCCAGACAGAAAGATCCTGCTCCAGGATGCCAGACAGAAAGATCCTGCTCCAGGATGCCAGACAGAAAGATCCTGCTCCAGGATGCCAGACAGAAAGATATGCTCCAGGATGCCAGACAGAAAAATCCTGCTCCAGGATGCCAGACAGAAAGATCCTGCTCCACAGTACCAGACAAAGAGACCCTACTCCACAGTACCAGACAAAGAGACCCTACTCCACAGTACCAGACAAAGAGACCCTACTCCACAGTACCAGACAAAGAGACCCTACTCCACAGTACCAGACAAAGAGACCCTACTCCACAGTACCAGACAAAGAGACCCTACTCCACAGTACCAGACAAAGAGACCCTACTCCACAGTACCAGACAAAGAGACCCTACTCCACAGTACCAGACAAAGAGACCCTACTCCACAGTACCAGACAAAGAGACCCTACTCCACAGTACCAGACAAAGAGACCCTACTCCACAGTACCAGACCAAGAAGAACCTGCCCCAGAGCTCCGCTCCAAAATCCCCGATTTGAATATGTTCAATATATTATCTAGACACCACTTAAGGGGTTAGGCGCCCGAAAATATCTACAATTTTCAAAAATTGTCCATTTTTTTATTTTTTCATTTTTACGAAGATAAACATTCTTAGAATCGATTACATATCAATTGATACTACTTTTTAAAAGATTTGTTGTGAAACAATTTGGTCAATTACTTTTGTTAAAATAATTTTTTTCATATCCTAGGATGGTAAATTTTAAGCGTTTTCTGCCGAGGCAAATTTTAAAAATTAATATATTAATATTAAAATTAATATAATTGAAGTTCATGAATCAATCATTTTTTAAGCAATAGGTATGTTTGTTTTTAAAATTTTAGAACTCTACGAATGGGTATTATTTTCAAGATGGCCGCCGTTGCTATGGCAACTATATAATTTTTTTTTATTTTAAAGCATGAAAATATATCTCCATTCATAGCTTAACATGACCATAATAAAATAATTGCTCTAAGTTGGTTAATTAAGAAAAAAATTTTTTTGGTAGCCTGCCCCCTTAAATTCAAATTATGTTTTTACAGTACAATGTCTTTTGTGCTTTTATTATAAATATTTATTTGTGTCAATATTTTACTGTATTCCACCTTTTTGTTACTAACCAATAATGAGAATTTGTTGTCTGTAATTACCAAAGAAATACCCAGAGAAGTTCTACTACGAGGGCTCCCAGGATCTGAACAATCCCATCCAGCATCAATATCTGCCTGTTTATTTTGGCAATGTTTGTCTTCGCTTTATTCCTGTAAGTGAATTTAACAAACCTCCCACTAATTAATTGTGGAGTCAGTGTAATTATTATTTTTTAAGCAATGTCTCTGGTCAGCGTTAAGGAATTTTACTTCACTGAGACTGCATGTTGGGACTTGTTTTCTAATTGGATCTTTTCTTCTTCTTGCACAGGTCTTAGATTTGACCATTCATCGTTTCTTGGAGGTAGTGCAAATGCAGAAGTCTCTTGAAATTATACTTGACCAAATTGGTGGACTGTACAAATTTCATGGTAAATTAACAAGAAATAAACTCAATTTTTAATATAACTTTTAATTTTTAGACCTTAATCAAATACATTTAAATGTCACTCGCCTCACTTCTAGCTTTAACCCTTTCAGTTTAGTTACGTCTTTCCGGCCTTTATGCCTCTGTCACGTTATGGACTAATACTCCATTTTTAACATTGCTAAAAAAACTTTTCTTATTAATGAGTTACAAAAAAGCTTATTATTATAAACAGCAAGTGTCAAGTTCTTATTTGGTTGGGATTTGGTGGCTGTGCACTTGATTTTACGCTACTTTATTGACAGTAGATCTAAGCATAATGGTGCTGGCCAATGTTCCCTTTAAGCTGCGCGGCCGCGCTAGTAATCTCACAGACGCCGCGCAGCAGTTTTGAGTACCACGCAGCTAATTTCCACTTAAGTTTGTGTCTGTAGGCTGTAAAATTTTGCGCACAAAAAAATTGCTGCTGTAAAAATTTGCACGCAACTTTATGATTTTGCACACGAACCAACAAACCTTAGAGGGAACATTGGTGCTGGCCATTCTTGATCACTTCAAACTCTAAGCTTGTTGGCTGTTAGTGTCGACACTAAAGAATTTGATTCGGAAATAGATGCAGGGGTAGATAATGGAAATAAAAGGGATGATGATGTTGAATTGGTTTAACATTTTGATATCCCAGATATGTCAGAGGATGAAGACAATGTTGATAGATCTGACTGGTCTAAACAATGGCATTCAGTTGATATTGAAGTATTTTAGGTGCAACTGGTCCTAATGTTGACTTTTTACAAATTAAAATTTCACTTTTTCTCTACAATTATTAGTAATTTTGTTCATGATTGGATGAAAAATTGATTTTTAATTCAGCTGCTTTTGGTCAAAATGGAATTATTTCCCTTCGCTTGGTATGGGCGGTACTTTCTTAATGGGTGCTACAAGGACAATACTGAAAGGGTTAAGCAAAAAATAAATTGAGTCATTAAAAATAAATACTTATGTCATTCATTTGATGTATGATCTCATTTATCTTTATATAATGATATAAAATCAGTTTAAAAAAATGGTTTACAAATAATTTGCACATTCATTTAGTTTTGGGATCAGTATGTCAAAATGTAAATTAAATTATACAGGATTTAAGGGAACATAGCGTTCCTAAAGTCACTCTTTAAACATTCAAAATAATAAAAACAAATAAATTTTCCAATAAATTATTACCAGATCATCCCATTACTTATCTCTACAACACACTGTTCTACTACGAGAAGAGACTTGCTGACAAGACAAATCTCAAACGTAAACTAGTTAGTGCAATCATTGGTAAGTATCAATGAAATACACATTTATTAAAAAGAAATTTTATAAATATTTTTAGTGTATACAGTTAAAAAGTTTAAACATTTAAAATTAGTACTGCTTTATTAATGGGAAATGTTATATTTGGGAATTATTTTTCAAAGTTCATTGTGAAGTGAAAATTTAATGGAATTAAGGTTTTTCAATCAGCAATTTCTGATGCTTTTATCTTATTTTAAGTGTGATTGGTGGCAAATGCATCAGTTCAATATTATTTTAAATATGCAACAATTTTGTCTTCATTTAAAAAAAACATTGGCTGATTTTTAAAAGGCCCATTATCAATAAGATTTTTTAATAGCCTCTTATTAAAAATATTTTTAAATGGCCTTTTATCAAAAAGATTTTTAGCAATTAACCATTTAGGTTATCCTCTGCAATTAGTTATTATTATTTTATGAAATTTTTTTTTTTTTTAAACATCATTGAAAGCTTATTTTTAAACTTATTCTTTACTGTATTTATTAACAGGTGCATTTAGTGACATTCGTCCAGAAAACTGGTGCCTCTCAGAAGATTATCTACTGTATCTGAAGCGGTCACAAGATGAATCTGCCTGGACTCCAGACCATGAGTACTACATCAAGCTGATCAATCGGTTGAGAAGCAGTATCCTTTTTACATAAATTTATACTTATACTTTAGATATATAATTTTATATATATAATTAATTTAATATGAGATAATTTGACTGCAAATATCTGGTTATGTATTAAAAAAATTAATGTTAAGTTTCAGATTCATTTTAAGTTATACAAATTTTCAAGTATTCACTTAGAAGAAATATTGAAATTTTTCTCATCTATAAGGATACAAAAGAACCATTTTACAAGCCACTGATAAGAAGTAATTTGATATGTCATAGTCATAGACATATTCATGGTTTCTTTTCATTTATTTGAATTGATGTATTTACAATAAAAAATTTTCACTGCACTGATATTAAACGAAAAGTATCAAAACAATTATTGTTGGATGTTTTGTAACATTAATAAAGTACTGGAACCACAAGTAAAGGTTAAACCAGTATATTTTGCCATTAAATTCTTTCTTGATTTGAAAGATATTAAAAATTTAATCTGTCTTTTGGTTATTTCAAAGGCAGCATATGTCCTTAAGGTTGTTGAAGTGGGCACAGTTCTTCAATTTAGCAAATCTATTTCCTTAACTTTGAAGCCATATTGGGTGAACTCCCCCCACCTTACCAATCAGCTGACTGGAGGTTTAATGAATTCCCCAATGCAGCAGCCCACACCTTGCACTCCATATGTGTGGAGCTGATGGCACTGCCAGTGTCAGCCCAAACCGTTGGCGAGGCTCTCATTGATGTCTCTCTAAAGCCGTAAGTTATCATTAATTCACTTCTTCATTCAGAACTAAAGTAGGGCTTCTTTTCCAAAATAATTAAAATGTTTTAACTCTTTAGTATAACAATTACATCTATGCCATCTGATATATTTTTTTACCCATTTTTTTATATTTTTTTAACCTTTACTAAATATTCACCGAGTTGATGGAACAAGAAAGAAAGGGAACTAATATTTCTTGAGTTAAGACAGCACTCAATGTTTACATCTCCAGGTCTTCATTACTGCCACCACAGAAAGACATGATGTCATGGTACAATGCTGTTGGACTAGTTCTCACAGCCCTGCCTGTAAGCTACCACATGTAGTAACATTATAAATTGATGGTTGTTGTTGTAAATAAATAAATATATAAACTTTGTACTGTACTTGAGATCAAGTAACAGTTAAGTGCATACTTAGAATTCTTCAAAATCGGTATGTCTTTTTTGTTTTATGATGTACTGGGTGTTATGTAAATAAGCAAGATTTAAATTAAAAAATATTTTTAAAAAAAATTAAACAATACCAAACAGTTTATATGTCTTTACATATTAAAAGCACCCTGCAATTATAAAGTAAAACAAAAATCTGCACACTATGAACTATTGCTATAAACTAAACAACAATACTTTATGTTATAGGAATCCTACTGGAGTGTTCTCAATGACCGCATACTGAAGGCCATCACATCACCCATGCTGGAGACACCCGCTGCCCATCACAGCCCATTCAAGATTCTCAATGTCAGCCTGTCACACCTACAGAATGCCGAGCACCAGTGCTCCACTGTGTTGGAGCTGTGTCATGGTGTCTGGCATCATGCTGGCATTGGCCAGTTGTCACACTTGCCACAGTAAGTTTGATGTGTGTCAGAGAGTGATAAGTGTTTTTTTATTTTTGTTTAAGTATGTTAATGAATGAATGAATTAGTTTTGTCTAAGCTCTATTGTTAACATTCAAAAATGATTATCTTTAACACCTTCATTACCGCTGGGTTTTGGGGAAGACATCGATTTTTGCTGACTCGGCAATAAAAAACTTGCAAGATGAAATTTTCGGTATATTTCATTCTCTATCCGATTCGCTTTTTAACTTCTCTATAGCTTAACGAATACGGAAATATATAGCATTGAAATTTGACATCAACGTGACGTCGTTGTTATTTCAGAAAAGTTCTTTTACTTTTTGTTATGACGTCAATGTTACGTCCTGGGTAATTGAAAGTGGGTGATCGTGACGTCTCGTGTCGACGTCATCGGTAAGGAAGTGTTTAAATGAAAACATCAAGAAGTCTGTTGTGACTTCTTAAATATTTATAACTTTGGTGATTTTTTTTTTTTTTTTTTTATGTTCTTCTCTCAAATAGCCCAAAAAGGGTTTTATCAATCTGCAATTTTGCCATAGAGAAGTTTATAAGTAAAATTGTGTTCTCTTTGGCAATTATGGAAATTTTACAGAGAAAAAAACACTTTCCATATCAGGAAATGAACAAGGGAAAACGTTTGATAGGGTAGAAGTAATTGTTAAGAATGGTCTTTATCGAATGGGTTGTTTGTCCCTCTCACTCTTATTCCTGATCTTCCTTGAACTACTCCACAGATTTGTGAAGGAAAAGCTGAAACCAGTCATTAAGCATGAGAACCAGTTCATATTCTTGTGTCACCTGGTGGGTCCATTCTTGCAAAGATTTCACATGGAGAGAACGAGATGTTTACTAGAGGTCAGAAAACGTTTCTTTTTAAATCTTAAGTTTTAATATTCTTCTTTTGCTTCACTTTTTTTCTTTATAAAAAGTTGAAAATATCATTAGAGTTAGAGGTGATGTTAAGTGGGTTTTTTTTTTTTTTTTGTGTGTTGTTGACAGCTTAATGGCCAGTTTGGTGGCTTGTACCCATTCAACCAGCTCACAATGCAGACATTTAACCATCTTTTAAAAAATTATAGTCCTGCTTTTTTTTCAGAATGAATCAAATAATAATAATAATGCTTATAAATAGAATTGCAATATATTTATACCATGTTGATAGTTATCATTATGCAGACATTAGTATACTATCATGTCTTATACATTAGCAGTAACAACACAATGACTAAAAGTATACCCCTATCTATTGATTTGTTTTGTTCACAGCTAACCGTTGAACTGTATGACATACTCCTCATTGTTGACAGTAAAAGTGAACATCTGTACCACATGGATGCCATCTGTGATTATCTGTATCCTTTAATTCATCGGTTCCCAACCTGTGGGTTGCAACCCCTTTGTGACAATTCGTGATGATTTTTTGCGTGACGTAATTTGCAAACGATCCCCTTAGGGACATTTAAGTTTTTTCAATTTCAAATTTCGTTTTATTGTTATGTCTTTTTTTTTTTTTTTCAAGTTTTAACGCAGACCCCCACATATTATCCTTTTAATTACAATTAGATAGCTGATCAAATTTTTTTTTTGCTTTTTTTTGATGTATTGGAAGAGCTGTAATTTGCAAACGATCCCCTTAGGGACATTTAAGTTTTTTCAATTTCAAATTTCGTTTTATTGTTATGTCTTTTTTTTTTTTTTCAAGCTTTAACGCAGACCCCCACATATTATCCTTTTAATTACAAATAGATAGCTGATCAAATTGTTTTTTTGCTTTTTTTGGAGATAAAAAATATTGTAATTGAGAAATTAAAATCTCTTCTGTGCAAGCAAAGCTGTCATAAACAGTAGATAGTAGCCTGAATTAAGTATTTATTTGACCCAATCCTAATGGTGAGAAAACAAAAATTAAACAGACAACCTAAATACTTCTTTTCACATTTTAGGTGGGTTAATATAATTAATAAGTTACGGTAGAATAAAAAATTCATAAAAAATTTGTGTAGCTGTAATTATGGCTAACTTTAACAGTATAATATCACAAAATTATAATGCATAAAAGAAATTAATAAATAACAATGAACAGTCCTCTTCTTCTTCTTCTATATCTTAAGGGCCCACGATCAATTTATTGATCATTTTGGCTCCTATGCATGTAGATGGGATTTGCAATGTTTCTGTTACTGGTGGTGATGAGGAAATTATGCACCTTGTGATGGTTACTTGAGGTCATTTCATTCTGAATCAGCACAGGTTACCTTTTTTAAAGGTAACAAAGGGGAGAGACTGCAATCAAGTTAGGTAAAAGAAAATTAGGGAAACAAAGCATGGGGAAAACCTGAAAAAGGACGCAACAAAACAATGAACGTGTCTGCAAGCAGCCTTCCTCAGCGAACAAACAACAGTAAAAACAGTATAAAATAAAAATAAACACTTAGCTGCAACGGAGAATATATAAGGATTCAGCTGTACATTTTGTTCATCTAAACTTGCTAATGGTTGAGTTTTGCCTATTGGCACTTGCACCGAATTAAGTTTGTCAGCGGAAAGGCATGATGCTCCAAATTAAAGTGGTGAAGTTAAATTTTTATTTTGAAAGAAAATTATTTTTTACCCTTAACCTCGTGACCTCAGCTACCACATCAAATACATGTTTGTTGGTGACGGAGTCAGGAGTGAAGTGGAAAAAGTCATTTGCAAGCTGAGACCAGCTTTGAAGCTTAGACTCCGATTCATCTCACACCTCAATATTGAAGAGACCACGTCTGTTGTTCCAGTCACCACTGTTCCTACATGTGTGCCATCACAATAGCGTCTGAAGGGCAATAAGTGCTGCATTATTTTTTTTACAGCATGAATTGCATTCAAAATGTTATTTGCTAACATTTATGTTTTAAAGATTCATTTTAAAGTGTTAATTCAGTGTACCTGTATAAAAGAAGTCGCCTTATTTCATTCATTAGACTAATTTTTTCAGGAGTACCAAAAGAATAAATCATTGGTACTGGAAAAAAAAGACCCTATGAACATCACATTGTTCAGATATATATTTTTTTTTTTTTTTTTTTTTTTTTTTGTATTAACAGTTAAATAATTGTTTTATCTATGCCCAAGATTATGTACTTCACTGATATAAGATCATGTTGATCAGCAGTACTAGTCCTTTTCTTGTAAATAACAATTTTTACTGTGTTGTTGCTATTCCTAATTGGGTGTTTACAAAAGAGCCAAATATACCTATATATATATTAATTATTTTAAATGATTTATTTCTCGATGCAATAGTAAATTTTAATTCTTTTTGCATGTCAGTGTAATTTGTAAACTGTTACAATGTTTTAATTGTGTTTGTTTCTTTTTTACTGTTAAACAAAATACCTAACCTCATGCTTCATTTAAAAAAAAATTAATTCATTATGACAGAGGTTTAAAAAAGAGTAGTCAGTGACCACATGGGGAAATTTTAGAAATGTTATCATCTTAAACTTGACCCTTTTTATTATATAACTACATGTAGTTTGAGCATAACCAAGCATGGCATCCAATTTTTTTAAATCTAAAATTTTATACATTCCACTGTCAAGAAAAGACATTTTATTTCTACCGTATGTGGATTCCTGTATTTTACAAAAGTTTATATTGTTTAACCCAGTTGTGGAACAATCTATCACAATCATGCATACTTTGCCTTATATGGCATTTAATTTTCCAGAGATATTTATCAGAATGTGGACAACTTGCTCCTTGAAATTCTTGGGGGATGAGATTTTACTGTTAATAACTTTGCCATCATTTTATAGTAACTTTGAGAATTCTTTTTGCTGCATGTGTTGATTAAAATATTCATTTTTTTTAAATTAGTTACCTTACCGATGTATCTGATTTTAAAACACTACATATCCACTGGCAGTCTAAACAGCTTATTTTTTGTCACTATGCATTTTGTGCATAAGGCCAGGTGTTATATTTATTATCTTAACGCAATCTTTCTGGGTGTTAGTACCAGTACCAGGCTTTTTTGTTGTTTTTTTAATAATTAAAAATTAGTTTTGTGAAGGCCATAATTTATAATTGAAAATGCATCAGCTCTATCTGGATTGAATCCTGTTACATTATTTGATTTCTTATGATAAATTTGTAAATTTGTATTAAAATGCTTCAAATTCAATACAAGTTTTTAGTTCGTTTCTTGAACATGTTTTCATAGTGTAATACATAGTAAAAAATTTAAATTGGAATTTTAAGCCCATTGAGTGGGGGGAGATCAGGAGTTTTCTAATGAGTCCTAATGTTTATATTTTGAGTTTGAGGGATGGTACGTGAATTTCTTTGGGTATTATAAATTATATATTCTTAGCTGTAGTAGTTTAAAACAATACATTATTTTTAGTTGTGTCAGATGGTGAATTGAAATGCCGTTGTGTCAGATGGTAAATTGAAATGCCAAAAGGTGTGTGGTGTGGGGGAAAAAAAAGTGTGGAAGGGGGGGGGGGGAATCAAACAGCCCAAGGCACTTGAAATTTGAAAAAAAAATTGACTAAAATGCAAGTATTAAAGCACTAAAAAAAATTGTCCTTGAGATCCAACTAATAATTCTAAAACACATTTTGGATTCATGATAGATTTATTACCCCTACCCACTTTTCCTGATGATGATCTCTGAGTGACTACAAAATTTGTATGTAGTTATGCAGTAAGAGTTATCAGACAAGTGTCAAGCATGCCCACCTGGGAGCCATTTAACACAATGTATTGATCAATAGGTTTATCCAATCACAAACATTTAGCATTTGATTGGACTTGCGATTTCGATTATGTTATTTTTCTCATTAAAACATCGAAACTTCAACATTATCATTAAATCAAAATAAATTATTAATTTACATATTAGTCTCTATGCTGAGAATTGAAAGGTGCATTACATAGGATTTTTTTTACAAAACTGACCTTAGAATTGTAAGTCTACCCCAAAAATATGTTATATATGAACAAACAAAACAATTAGAATGCAACTAATACAAAATGTATGGAAGAGTATTTTGATGTTGCTGGAGAGCTCCAGTCGGCCATAAAAAAAGTCAGCGTACATACACTGTTAAATGATTGTGTCACTAGATTTTTTGTTATCATTTTTTTTTAAAAATTCAATTTTAAAATCAGACTTGTTTATGTTATAATTCGTATTGCAGCAAAAACTTATAAAATATAACCCTGATTATACCTTTTTCTTAATGATGAAAAAAATACAATTGACAAAATTATAATAAATGTTTTTATTTTGATAAATTAAATTATTTTTTGTGGGTTACATTACATTCATTAGTAACAAACAATACAGTATATATACATTTTTAAATAGCTAATTAATTAATTGAATCTTTCATCACATATCTAATTGCCTCAGTGACAGTTTTTGTCTTTTCTTGCTGGGGGGTGATGTTCTGTATTGAGACAGTAACCAATCCTCACTCTCAACTGAATATCCATCAGTGGAACTCGGGACTTTACCATGACTTGAATTCCCTGAAGTCTCATCCTTGTTGCCAGGTGTTTTGAACAAACAAGTGCCAACTACAACTGGCAGTGACCTCACTGAAGCATTTTTTATACTGGGTAGAGACACCTCCCTGTGCGGACATGAAAAGGAGACTGCAACAAGTACAAGAGGTTCAGCTCTACACTTAACAGTGTTGGATGGTGCTTCTTTCTTCACCTTTCTTTTTGAATCTGTGCAAAACAAAACATGAAAGTTGATTACATCAAGTCTCATTTCTGTTCAAATTTTGTATTATAAAATTATAATATAACAGTGTAAAATGTAATATGTATAAGCATATCTCTTATTTACCGTACACAGATTACAAGTAATTATAAGAAATTTAAAAAAAATTAAATACTTCATATTTAGGCAGTTATATAAAAATAAAATATTGAAATCCTAAACAGTCAGTAATTAAATCTCTAACATCTTCCAATGAAAACATTCTTATAATTTAGAGATGTTAATGATTTAACAACTTAATACCCAATTTAACACACTTTAATCTAGATCTATGTGATTTTCAAAAAAAATGTATGAAGAAATAGAAGAAAAAATGCTTAATTTTACACAAGGATTTTTTGTTAAGTAAAAAGACTTTAAAAACCAAAGCTTACAGAAGCTGTGTATATTTTTAAGTATATCAGATCCATCTGCTGATGATAAAATGCCTTTCAATTTAGTCTTGGGTTGATGATATTCTGCTTTCCATTTGTCTATAACCTCAGCTGCCCAGCCACTTGTTTTCACGTTAAAACTTCTTATTATACATGAGCACAGGTCAGTTGATACAAGCCAATCATTACTCACATTCTTAGCCTTAAAATAATACATGTATTATTTTCAAATAAATGTACAGTTAGCAACAGATGATTAAAAAAAATGGAAATAATGACTGATTTTAAAATTATGATATAAAAATAAAGCCATTGAATGATGTAATTTTAAATATATATACATAACTTTAATGGATACAACTTTATCTATCAAAACAATGATGGAACTTCATTTGCTTTTTTTTTTAATTTTAAAATCATGTTGTAGTAAACACAGGGAAACTATTTAAGCTTAAGGAAATTAGCTTGTCTTGATGATAGGGTTCCTTTTAGGGTCTCTTACTCTTATTAATGCTTTTGGCCAGATTGAAACTGCTTGAAGATGATTAGTGGCTCAGAAATTGTTAGATTGAAACCCCAGGCCTAAAGAAGTACTGTAGTTAAAATAATGCTATATTCAATTCATTTTTTGTCATACCTCAGATACAAATGCTGTGTTTGACATTTTCAACAAAGACAAATTTGATAAGCATTTTAGTAGTTTGATGCTTCTCTCAGTGAGCACTTCATTATCTGAAATATCAAGGATAAACTGAAAATAGTATGTGTACAAATGTTGTATTTTTGTCTCACTGCCCCAAGACATGTTAAGACTATTGTAGGAAGGTATTTAAATTTTTTTTAGGATTCCATCATTAACTAAATTATAGTTCATTTTCTATTTAAAACACTAAGCTTGAAGATGTTTACCATAACTTTTCTAAAAATCAAGATGAATATTAAAAGCCATGATTGAAGGAAGCTTTTTTATTACTATCATAACCTTCTCCACATTGTTCATGGTCTTGCAGAACAAGCATTTCCAATAAATATCAGAGTCCTGAGAGTTAGAAAGGTTAATTTGATGGGCTATAAATTACCTGAAAGATCTAAACAGCTCAGAGAAGACACCTTTTTAAACATTCTTGGTTGTACTGTCAGTTTCCTGACACCCTCATCTGATAATGAATTGTTTTGAAGAATCAAAGTTTTCAACCTATGAAATTAAGGATTTCAAACAAATGAGTACCCTATAAATAATAACTCTTTTAAGTTAACTGTGTAACTGGTAATTAGTAATATTAATGAATGTGACAACAAATCAGTCTGGTATTTTTTTATGAGAGATATTCAATTCAAAGATTTTTTTAGGTAATTATATCAAATGACATTTACAAGGTGCAATCAGGCTTCAGACCTTAACACATAATAACACGTCAGTGATTATCGTAACTTGTAGGAAATCTTCTAGGCACACACATTATCTATTGACGCATGTAATCATACTCTTTCGGTTCAGTTCAAATTTCATTTAATAAATATCATAAACTATTTCAACTTAGATTGATGCAGGGATGCAGATTTGAGTTGATCCAGAAGCTTAAGTGGTGTGTGCAAAAGTGAACCACACAGGACCCCCATGAGTTGTAATAACTGAAAATTTGGGTATGGAAGTTAAAAACTTTTCATGGGATCAGTTTGGGGACTATGTGATATAGTAACAATTATATCTAACCAGTGCTTACTTTAATCCTCTCATCAATAATGGGAGGATATCATGGTCATCTCCAAGACCACAATGTGATAAGTCTAAATAATTTATGTGTTCAAACAACCACCAGCATGTATCAACAACATCATTTAAAAATAGTTGACTTTCTTTAAGTGAGACACTTTCAAGTATTCCAAAATCTCCATACGCCAGAAAAAAAATCTGTCACAAAGATAAAAAGAAAAAGATAAGCTTATTATAATGAAGAGAAGGGGTAGAGGGGGGGTGTGAGTGATGATGTTTTCTATACTCTATGGGTCGAAATAGGGTGATGCATTTATGGATGGCCCTTTATGTTTTAATGTTCTTTTCCAATTAATTTTGCCAAATATTTTTATTTAACCCTTTCATTATTGCTGGTTTTGGGCATTGATTTTTGCTGACTCAGCAATTAAAAAACTTTACAGAGAAACTTCCAGTATTTTTTCATTCCCTACCCTATTAATTATTAACTTCTCTATAAATTAAAGAATAAAGAAATATATAGCATTGAAATATGATGTCGACTAGATTTCAGTGGTATTTCAGAAAAGTTCTTTGCCTCTTTGTTATGACCCCAATGTGACATCCTTGGTAAATGAAAGTGGGTGATTGTGACATCGCGTCAACATCAGCATTAACGAAACGGTTAAAAAGCATATGTACTTTTTATTTTTTCAAAAATCATATTAATAAAACGATAGTGATAAAACGGGACAATCCCGTTTTTACGGGACGTTTGGTCACCCTAACCTAACACTTGGGGCTAGTCAGGATGGATAAATTAGTCCAGGGGGGAGGGGGGGCACAATGATTTTGCTGAGTTTACCACACTGAGAGACATGAGCCTTACTCCTGTTTCCACATATTGACATAAATTCTCACAACTGTCAATGTCACTACACCCCCATTCTCCGCCACCGTGTCTCCTTCATTAGCCTAATGTCAATGTGAAAGCAGAAATAATAAATAATAATAAAAGCTACTCAAAACGACTCCTGAATTATTATTAAAATTACACTGTGCTATTTTAGTATTAAAACAATGTATATCATAGTCATAGCATGTGAATTTAAGAAAAATGGATTGTATAACGAACAATGAATATAAATTAAAATTTAAAATTAAAGTCACCTGAAGACTTCTTCTTGTCAACTGCGAATTTTTCAAATGCAAAAACTTATCTTGTGCCAACGCAGCGCGGAAAATTTCCAAGCCAATCGTGTCTGGGAAATCAACAAGAGAATCTATCAGTGACAGCCTCGAAACAATAAAATTTAAACTTATCGTGAATAAAGAATTTGCCATCTTTTGATTTATAATTTACCATTCTGTAAATTCACATATGATTTGTTTTGTGGGTCTCACTTTTTACTATATAAGAAATGCTGCCACTAAGTTGTTCAAACTTCCCAAGATCTTGTAAATATTATTCCCAAGATTTCCCAAGGCTATGAAAACTACACTGTAACATGGTTTTAAAAATATTTTAAAATTATTTAATTAATACAATAATAGATTGAATTAAGGCATCAGAAATATACTGTGATATAAGGTTTATCACATCAAATAAATTATACAAGTCCAAGTTTTCCTTTTTTAAAAATATAATTTAGGCCTTAGGCCTATAATGCAAAATGTTAAAACAAAACCTTACCATCACATACTCCAGTAAATTATCCGTGAAATGTGTAATAGAAGTGCACTTCTATTGATTACAACTTTTCATCAAATGCGATCGCATCTTGTGTAAAAACAAAATTAATAAAGTTATAGCCATTTTTGTTTTCATTTACAATTTGACTATCAGAACTTTCATTTTTACAAACTGTAGACTTTGCACTTTCAAAATTATTTTTATGCTTCACTGGTTGTTTATGTTCAATTAATGAAGGTCTATTAAGTAAGTGCATTTTTCATTGTAAATTTGCAATATTTTCAAAAGCTAGTATCTTCATTGTCTTTTCTTGCTGTGTAGCGTTAATCTTTAAATCGGGATCTTTTAGCCGTTTCCAAATTAAAAATTTGATCATACAATTTAATTTTACCTTTGTTCTTATAATTTGCAAAAGTTAGCGAATTCACACTCGCCCCTTCACTCATCAGATTAAAGTGAACATGATTAAACGAGTAGCAAGAGTATTTCCCGAGTCTATCATTTTTTTACAATAATTCGATAAGAAGTATGATGACTTTATTTGTTCCTAAAATGCCCTATGGTGAACCAGGGCTACCATTCAATTTTTTTTAAATTCCCAAAATTTTGTCAAAATATTTCCTAAGATCATGAAAATATATTAAGAGTTTTGTTTAAAAAATCTTGGGAATTTTTTTTAAAAAGTGAGTTTTTGTCCTGAGTGAATTCTCAAGATCTTGGGAAAATTCTCAAGGTGTGGCAGCCCTGTGATGAACACCAGTGGCGAAGCTAGGATTGATGTCACCGTGTGCGGTAAACTCAAGGGTCACCCTCTCTTCGCCCCCCCCTTCCCACCCCCCCCCCAATTAAACAAAGAATTTCTTATTCCACAGTATAACAATGACAAAAACAAATTGATTCGGGAGGTAAATTCATTTTAAAAACTGTAACAAAGTAAAGTTACTGTTATTTTTACATTAAATTTAATTTAAATTAAAGTCAGGCACAGAAACATTGCAAATCCCATCTATAGGATTAGGATGAGGAGCCAAAATGATCAATAAATTGATCGTGGGCCCTTATTATATAGAAGAAGAAATTTATTAAAAATTTTCCTTTTCTGGTCTTCAAAGCAGAAAACAAGGTGGTGTCAGAGTTATTTTATAAATTGGACAAAGTGTCACTGAGCTCGTGACAGCGCTACAAATTATGTTACAATAAAACGATCGAATAAACTATACAAAGCCAAGAAATAAGACTTTAGAAAATTAGAGACATGCATAAATTCTTGCCTGAGGTAGACAGACAATATTTTAGTACCATAATTACGTAACATGTAAGGTAGCTGTTTTTTTTTTTTTTAATTGAAATAATCCAGAAAAGTTCTAGAAGAATGTTTGTGTAAAACTTGTTAGTGTCTATAAATAATTAAAGTAAACGTGTTCGTACTAATAAATTAATACAATGGAAAATTATACGAATATTCTTTTTTAAATTGTTATTGTTTAATGATTTTGCTATGTAGGCCTAGGCCTAGGCCTACATATTTCTAATAATCTAAATAAAGAATATGTATTTATTCTTGAAAGATCCGGCTTAAAACCTAGTCCTACGGTAAATAGATAACCTTGTTATAGTTTTAATAAAATTTGTTGGGATTTTCATAATTCCAAGGCTCTATTTCCAATTACAACAATCTATAGTTTATTTAAAGAAAACATCCAATTTTCAAACTTGAATAATTCGTGTTTATATTGACCAAAAGGTCATCTAATGCAATATTGCTATTCAGATTCCAGTGCAGGGGTCGGTAACCCAAGGCTCATGAGATGCGTGTCTTTGAGTTTGAGCTTTCGCTTTTGGCACTTAGCCTCTAGATGATTCAATAAATTTGTAGGATGTTTTACTTTAAAATGTGTAAATTAAATTTAAGTTTAATTAGACATTATTTTAATAATATAAATGCGAATAAGAAATGTTACCGCTTTAAACAAATTACCGGTATTTTTTTATTTATTTTATTTTATTTTTATTTTTTTTGTGGCTCTTCAATTTTTTTTAACTAGATCAAAAAATGTAATATTTGGCGCTTTGCCATGCCAAGGTTACCACAGCACCTGGTCTAAAAAAAAAAGTGGGGTATGGTATGGGGCAGCAATACTCTGTTGAAATGTATAGAAGAAACTTAGCTGGGGCCGAAAGCATACCCTCGGGCGCTACAAATACAATGAATTTAGTTTATTTTGGGCAAAGGTGGTGCGGAGTTATAGCTGTCCCTAGTCGCCATTATCATAATGCCTAATTTTGGCACTGATAGATTTACTGCGTAATGGCGTACAGTTAGGGTTAGGGCCACCCTGGTTGGGCTAAGATAGTTGCAGCCTCCTTTCAACGCCACGATAAAACTCCTCAAGGGGTGTCCATTAAGTACGTCACGGGGAGTCTGAAAAATGTGCCAGAGGGGAGGGAAGGTTGTTTTTTTTCCCCTTCAAAATAACGTGACGTCCTTTATGGACGGCCCCTAAGCTGGCTGAAAATGACATCTCTTCACAACAAGAAAAGATTGCTGACCCCACTGGCACAGCCAAACCGAACATCTGAAATGCCCCACACCCGTGCGGTATGAGTTAATATATGGTTTTATTATTGTTCGTCTTTCACATTCAAATTTGACTTGCGCTTAAGTCAGGGGGGGGGAGGAGGGGGGGGGTGGCGACTACTATTCGGTAGAAAACAATGTTTTGAGTCAAGAGTCGGCAACCTTTTATGAGTAAAATTCCATTTTATAAGTCCTAAGTTATATCACGTGACATATACAATCATAAAGTATTATAAAATATAACATCTGAAATGCCCCACACCCGTGCGGTATGAGTTAATATATGGTTTTATTATTGTTCGTCTTTCACATTCAAATTTGACTTGCGCTTAAGTCAGGGGGGGGAGGAGGGGGGGGGTGGCGACTACTATTCGGTAGAAAACAATGTTTTGAGTCAAGAGTCGGCAACCTTTTATGAGTAAAACTCCATTTTATAAGTCCTAAGTTATATCACGTGACACATACAATCATAAAGTATTATAAAATACCAAACAATAATTATTGATTTTTTTACCCCCCCCTCCTCAACCCAAACTCGTATGTACAATAAGCTTTTAGCCCCATCCCCCCAAAAAAACCCAAAAGAAATAAAATAATTTAACATAATTTAACGGATAATTGTGACGTCATGCTCACAGGGGGGAAAATGTGTCACTGGTTTATAGCCTACCAACGACAGTTTGGCCAGCCCAGTGGTCCCCATAATATGCGTCGCTCTAGGTGTCATGTTGCCCTCGGGCACAGCCATACGAACAGTGGCGTAGCGAGGGTGTTTGGCGCCCGGGGACAAGATTCGCGCCCGGGGACAAGATCCATTTTAAAGCGCCCCTTTTTCTTTTTTTTCAACTCTCAAACCCATTATTTTCATCAATAAAATAATATCAAAGCACATTTTGGCGCCCCTAACTAGCTGGCGCCCGGGGACATCTGCCCCCCTGCCCCCACCACGCTATGCCTCTGCATACGAATGGGGCAAATCGGACAGTTACAGCGGTTGCGAAAATCTTCTTTACATTGAATATTAATAGTTAATTAAAATATCAAATCGCATATAGCCTACTTCAGAAAGACGAGGTGAGCCAAAAATCGTTTTTTTTTTTTAAAACTGATCCGCACCAGGGGCACTTGTTCTTTCTTTTTATGTATTAAGTGGCACCATTTTCCGGCTTCGCCCAGGTCCAGGTGCAGCATTTCTTCTTCTTCTTCTTTATTTTGAGGGCCCACGATCAATGAATTGATCATTCTGGCTCCTATGTTTCAGAGGGGTTTGCGATGTTACTGTGAATGGGTTTCAATGGGATGCTTCACTGGTTGCAAGGGTGATTCAGCAGTGGTGTTATGAACTGGGGGTTGGAATACAGGAGGCAATAGACACAAATGTGTCGAGTGTAGCCGCCTCAACTGTTGCTTTTGGAAGCTTGTTCCAGTCCACTATTGTCTTCGGCAGGAATGAGGAGCTCCTGTACTTTGTTCTTCTTTTTACCAGCCGGAACTGTCTGTCGTGGCTTCGTCGCAATCTAGGGGGAAGATGAACGAGTTTTTGTTTGATTCCGGAGCAGTGGACCAGCCCATTTTTTATCTTGTACAACATGGTGAGCCTGGGTAGTCGTCGTTCTTCCAATGTAGACCAGCCCAGTGTTTCTAGCATGCTGCCAACACTTGAGGTGTTTCTGTAGCGGTTCATGACAAAGCGTGCTGCCCGTCGCTGGACCGCCTCCAACCTGTCGATGCTTTTCTGGGTAAATGGGTCCCAGACTGTAGAAGCGTACTCTAAAATAGGCCGGACAAAGGCTTTATAGGCTTTTTCTTTCACGCTTGAGTTTCCGATCTTCAGATTGCGCCTTAGGAACCCCAGGGTCTTGTTTGCCTGGTTGCACACACTGTTAATGTGCTCGTCCCAGAGGACCTCTCTTCCGCAGCGAACAAACAAGAGTAAAAACAGAATTTAAAAAACAACAACACTATCACAGGGCAGGAAAAGCATGGTGAATACCTAAATTTGGCATAAGCGCCGGTAATCGAAACATTATAGTAACCACTGAATTAGCACAATGAAGATACGGTGGACGAAATATTACTGTAATACTGCTGCTATTGAGTACTACTGAAGGGATATCAGCTAGTTCATTTGTGAAAAGAAATTGCAACATTATAACGATAATTCTTACACAACGTTGCGTGATATTTTTACAGTATTGGTAATATAAATATGCTATCTTTGGACTGTCAGATGGAGCTGAAACTATTCACTGCCCTTTTCTTTGGGGAGAAATAAGATAAGACAAATGGAAATATGACAAGCACATCGTTGCTGCTAAAAGTACGGACAAGCCGGACGACGAGAGGAAAGTACGGATACATACGGACACACAAATTAGTACGGACAACGGGATCAAAAATAAAAACTAAATACGGACGTCTATAAAAAATCATGAGGAATCTTCCCGAATTAAATTTTCACAATTGAGGGATCGTCAATTTAGTTTAGTTCATCTTCGATAACAACTTTTAATTAATTTAAAGCTTTACGTCACTGCGTGTTTTTATTAATTATTTTAAAATTAATATTAATTTAATATTTTTCTTTGGTAAATTTCCAAAAGGCCTCAAAATTACCCCCCCCCCCCCTTTTAAAAATTATTTTTGTCAAAATCCTATTTGAGTATTTTGTCGTACGGTATTTGAAGTAAAAATGTGTACAAATGTGTTGTGATCCAAAAATTGTACTATAAAAAAATGTATATTTCTAACTAGAATCATGACACTACAAATAATTATTGTCACAAGCCAATGAACGAAGTGGATTTATTTATATCCACCAATCACTAACGCTGTGATTGCAAACAAAACGAAAATTTGAAAGGTAAAAATTCATGTCTGATCTTGTGCATGCATCATATCTATTTTTAACAAGTTAAACAACAACAACCTGGAAATATATATAGCACATTACAAAAATCGGAGGATGAAACTTACTGCTTAGCAAGTAGGCATATATAAGATAAAGATTTTAAAGATCACACAGAATGTTTCAGTTCAGAGACAGCTGACGTCCACAGCGGTACGAGTACCGGACCGTGTACACACAAGTAGACGCGACGTAGTTACTAGACTGCTAATTAACAAGTAGTGTAGCCCGTTTACTTCTCTCACTCTCAGGCAGTACTTACAGTGACTTATATTATAGGCCTATACAGGGCCTACTGTTAAGTTTTACAAGAAGGCTTGAGTCAGTGTGTTAGTCCTTTCTTAGTAAGTAATAGTCTTCATACTTCATTTCTTAGTTAGTACCGATTAGTTAGCATAATTTGCCTTGGCCTTAGTCTACTAAGTCTTAGCTTAGTCATCACTTAGTTTTACCATTTGGGGTTTGCAGATTACTTAATCTAAACCCCATTGTTATTAGTCTAAGTAATACTACCGGTACCTACCTACTAACTACTACTTCTAGTAATAGTAGTGTAGGGCTAGCCTAGGCCTTTTCAAATCCAATCAAAGTTCAAGTCTGGAGGCAGAGTGAAGATAATGTTTTCTACTTTTATATTCATTAGCCTGACCAGCCTATGCCCTTCAATACTTCATTACTTTATTAAAAACTTGTTAGGCTAATTGTGCATAGTATAGTATAGCTATAGTACAAATTTTTTGGTGGCCAAAGTTAGTTAATGCATGTTTTGTGTCATCTTTTCTTATTCTTTACTAAATTACTTGTACCGAAACCGTTGTGACCTAAGGGCCCAATGTTATGATGTGGAAACAAATTAAAAAGAAATCATTGTAAATTACATTAATTATAATTAATGACTATAAAAGTTAAAAATATTTTGACTAGCTGTCATAACAGCCAATCATCATGCAAATCACACGTGTTACATTTTTTAAGTGAAGGTAACTATCACATACAATTTACCCTGAAGCTACTTAGTATCTAAAAAAGAAAGGTAAAAACTTACATGTTTTTTACTGTTGTTCATATTTTGCATCTCCAAAAGTGTGATTTTTAAGGAGAAGGGCCATTTCAGTTTCTGTGCAGTGGCAATAAAGACAAAGAGGGATGCATGTTTTTTTAAAATTTCTTTTTCCAACACTGGAACTGTAAATGTTGGCTAAATTATACATATTTGTAATATGCTTTTATGCAGACCAAGTTCAAAGCAAGAAGGGGAGGAAAAATAAAAGGGAAAGAAAACAAGCTGTCTAAAATAGCACGATTTTCATCAAAGATCCGCATATGATGGTCTCTTGTTTTTTTTTTTATGACATGGTGATGACAGAAAAATAAATTGAGTAATGTTATAATTTTGAAAAATATTCAACAAAACAACACATTTTTGGCTAATAAACTTCCTGTGTGAAGAAAAGAACACTAGTTAAAATTAAATAAAAAGATAATAAATTTTGCAAAAGACTCAAAAGTCATGCAATGTCTCTGCTTGTACACCACGATACACCTAATACCCATTTTTAAAGACTCTCTTTCTACTCGCATTGTCTCCTTATTTGATGTTTGTCTTAATTTGTTTTGTTGATACATGTGTTTTGAATTTTAAGAAAAAATTATTTTCTACCTTTTTGTTTGCCTTAACTTGACTTTGAAAGAAGTCTTTTAAAAAAAAATTTTTTAAATATATTTTTAGAGCATATATGCTTTTTATTCTTCCAACTATATCATGTTAAAGTTTAGAGAGGAAAAAATATTGTAAAAGCTTTAGATATGTAAGTAAAAACTTGCATAGCTGTAGCTGTGTATGGTTACTATATATATTATTATTTGTACAAAGGAATTCAGTTTGAGGGAAAGTTTATTCAAAATGAAACTTCTTTAGCAGAGATTTAAAAAAAAAAATTGTTATGCAAAAGAAGGTGTGTCAAAATAAGGAAAGCATAACTTCCCTTCAAACAAACCTCCTTTCGTTTGAACAAAATTACTCCTTACAAATTTGCTTCAAACAAATTTGCTTTGTACTAATTCAAGATATGTGTTAAAGTTTAGAAAAGAAAAAAACATAAGTGTCCTAAAGGCCTTAGTAATCTAAGTAAAATTTACATAAAAGTGTAAATTAAAAAAGTTGACAATTTCTATTTAGAAAATCATTATTTGTGAAATTTAATTAAATTTATATTTTTATTACCTATGCTTAACATTAGTCCTGTTTTATTTTAAAAAAATGAACTTCCTCATTAAAGGATTAAAAAATGGCACATTTCGACTTAGAAAATGAGGTTAACAGTGCTTTGAGAATGGATATGCCATTAACTCGCGGGCCTCTGATGAGATGGCAACGTCGTGAACAAGGTCAAAATAATTCATCCATCAACATTTCTCTTAACGCCAGTGTCGCATCAGCTAAAACTCCAAGCAAAAGTCTCAATAAATCACTCAACAGTGGAGCATATTCCAAGACACCAAACTCCAAAACACCAGGATCTGCAGGTATTCAATAATGATATAGGCTTAAGGATATTCATTTCTTTCTTTTTAGTATTAAATTGTTTTCATGAATAGAATTTAAAATGAGGTTTTATTTAAGGCTGCGACTATTTGTACCCGGGTACAAGAGTGAGAGGTAAGGTTTATTAAAAACTATTTAAAATATTAATGTAGGGTTTGTAAGACAAAATGAGGTATCAAATGAAAGATAATTGAATGGACCATATGTTTGTAAACTTACTTCTTCAGTTTAACTAAAATAAGCCGCTATTCGGACCCGGATCCCTTTAGACTAAATCCCATTCGGATGTCATTTGTGGTAGTTTATTTTAGTTAAACTGAAGAAGTAAGTTTACCAAAATATAGTCCATTCAATTATCTAAATACCTCATTTGTCCTACAAACCCAACAATAATATTTTTAATAGTTTTTTTAAATCCCAACCTCTCACTTCTGATATATTAATAAGACACGAACAAATTGTGTCAATAGAACAATATGAGTTAGCTTTAATAATAATTGTACATTATACAGAATTAAACGTTTCGGCACATGCCTTCATCAGTACAAACAAACACAACACATTTAAATAAGTATAAATTAAATTTACATAATGTCAATATATATATCCTACCTAAAACAGAAAAAATATAGGAGAGGGCGCTTAAACCTGACAAAAACAAAGTAAAGAGATGTAGAAAGGAAGTGATTCAAACATAATTGGAAAAACCAAACAGGAAAAAGACATGGCAGCTAAGTAAAACTATGGATTTGGTTCAATCCATATGGAGACAACGTACCAAATCTAGTTATTAATTTGTTCTCCATATAGATTCTATCTGCAGTGTTACTAGTATAGAGTATACCAGTAACTACAATATCTGAGCCGAAACGTTTAATTCTGTATAATGTACAATTATTATTAAAGCTAACTCATATTGTTCTATTGACACAATTTGTTCGTGTCTTATTAATATATTTTAAAGCTTTATTGCAGTCCAACACTTTTTATAATCACTTCTGATACCCTGGTGCGAATAGCCACTTTGTCTATTTAATAGATTTCCGATAAACCTCTTACAGTTCAATATGAAAGAAATAGCTATTTGTAATGCAGACAAAGAAAAACCTTCGTCACGGGGCAATAACAAAATCAAGAGAAGTGACAGAAATACAGGGTGGGCCACAGAAAAGTATCCTCTTACAGCAATACGGCAGATGCTTGGACCACTATTGATAGATGTTACTTTTTCTTGGTCCACTCTGTAGATTTAAACTAAACTGAAAGGAAATAGTGGATGCTTTGAAAGTTTCTCGTAAAGAATTATATATTTCAAAATTTAATCATTTTATTTTTTAGGCAGGAAAAAAACGCCATCTAAAGGCTCAAAAACACCTTCTGCTGCTGACAGATTTATTCCTAACAGAAGTACCACCCACATAGATGCAGCACATTATAAGGTTTTGTAGAATGAATGTTAATTTTATTATTATTTTTTTTTGCATTTTAAATTATTTTAATATTATTAAATACCATGTCAGTGGGCAATCCAGAGAGTTTCTCTATTTTGCTGCACAGATAAATTAAAATTTTGATTATTCTAAATTTTGAACTATTTAATTATTCTTCAAAAGACAAATTATTATTTTTGTTCCTACTTTCAGCTATGTACTCAAACACAGCCTAATGTTGAGGATTCCTTGATGCTAAGTCCATCACGGCAAGAATACAAACAGTTAATGAATGAAAATCTTAATGGAGATGCTCTTCAGAAAAAAATTATTTCATTTAATGAAAAACCACCACAGGCTCCAGAAGGTGAGTCAGTGTTGGCCCAGAAAAACAGGTATTTTTTTTTTTACATTTTTCATGAGTAAAGTAAAGTGAAAGTTCTTATTTTTAATACCCGGTATCAAATTTTTATGTTTAATGAAAGATAAATAATCTTTTTTTTTTATATTATTGACCTCTCATTTTTGACTCATCTTCAACAGGCTATCTTAATAACCTCCGTGTTTTGTACAGTACAAGTAAAGTTGGAACAGCCTCTAAAAAGACAACAAGACATATTTCACAGCAACCAGATCGTATCTTAGATGCACCAGAAATCTTAGACGATTATTGTAAGCATACTGCTTTCTGATCTGTTAATAAAAATTTATTTGGCAAAATTTTTCTTATTTTTCATACATATTTTGTAGATCCACTATAGAAGTGTAGTTATACTATACTTAACAATGAATTATTGTAATTTTTTAACTTTCATTGGACATTCTGCTTTAAAAATAAATAATTCTTGGTCTTTAAAGGAAGTTAGTTACACGAACTGTTAATGAACTGTAGTAAATCTCAATATACTTTACACTTGGCTAATATTTACCTTTAAAAAGTGAATATTCATCACAGTGAAATGAATCATTTAAACAATTTTGTAACCTTTTCAGATCTTAGTTTGATAGACTGGTCTGCACAGAATGTTCTTGCCGTTGCTCTAGGAAGTTGTGTATATTTGTGGGATGCCTCACACGGGAACATTACTCTTTTGCTTCAGCAGGAAAATGCTGGTGCTGACTATGTAAGCTGTGTTAACTGGACGTCAGATGGAAATCATCTAGCTGTTGGATTGTCCACAGGCATTGTGGAGGTAAATACTTTTAATAATGTGGGACAATCAGGGACTGGAACAAGCTTTCAAAAGGAACAGTTGAGAGGACAACACTAGACACATTTGCGTCTATTGCCTCATGCCTCCCAAACCCCAGTGCATGATTCCCTCAAAAAGTATCACTTGCAATCAGTGAAATGTCATCAACACAAGGCACAAAAGCATTGCAAATCCTCTCTACATGCATAGGAGTCAAAATGATCAATAAATTGATTGTGGGCCCTTAATATATATATATATATAAGAAGGAGAAGAAATGAATCATACACGTTTTGAATTGTAAAATTCTACCTCATATATTTGTTACACTAAAAAGATCAATATGTTTTAAAGGAGGTGGTGGGAGGATCTTTAAAAATAAATTAAGTCATATATAATGCATTTGTTTGATTTTTGTGATTAACTATTTTAACTACGATCTGTGAGTAGGATTGATTAGGTCTTCATAATGAATGTTATAGTATAGACAACCCTGGGATATAACTGCCTCTCTTCTTTGATTTTTTTAAAGTTTAGAAAACCTTTGTATGCTTTAATTTTTTTAATCGTATGCCTTCTTATTGTGTAAATTTAGCTTTGGGATCCATCACAACAAAAAAGACTTAGAAGTATGAGTGGACATGCGGCAAGAGTGGGCTCCTTGTCATGGAATTCTCATCTACTCAGCAGGTGCTTATACATTATTACTTAATTTTGTTAGGTCTAATTTTTCATTCAGGTTGATTTTAAGTTTACATGAATACAATAATATGAATTAAATCTATAATATATATATATATATATATATATATATATATATATGTATTTAACTATAAAATCAATATATATAGTTTCAGTGGCATGAAAATATAATTAACTATTAGACCATTGTATCTTTGTTGTAAATTTAACTTTAAAAAAAGTAAATACAATTTCAAATTTAATTCTTGATTTTATTTAATTTGATGAATGTAGTGGGTCCCGCAGTGGTAGCATACACCACCATGATGTTAGAGTAGCTCAACATCATGTAGGCACATTGTTGGGTCATTCCCAAGAGGTGTGTGGTCTCAAATGGTCACCAAATGGAAAACAACTGGCTAGTGGTGGCAATGACAATATACTTAACATATGGCAGGCTGGATCGGGATCCCTGTTAACTGGTGCTGAGCCTATACATACCTTTAACCAGCATCAGGCAGCTGTTAAGGTAACTTAAACATTGTTCACTTGTATAGTAATATTTATATTCACACATTGATTTCATTTGTTAATATATGATTTTTTTTTAATATGAAGAGGAATAATTTTTAAATTAATGAAATAAATCTTTGTTCACTTTTCTTATTATAATTTACATGATTCGCTTATAATCATTTGCATTATTTTTATTTGAAGGCTTTGGCATGGTGTCCATGGCAACACAATGTACTGGCCAGTGGTGGAGGTACAGCAGATAGACATATTCAAATATGGAATTGTAATAATGGAGTTAATCTTCATTCAGTAGATACCAATTCTCAGGTAAACAACTACTTGAAAAAATCTTTAAAAACAGTTTTCAAAATATAAAAATCTTTCTTCCATCTCTGGGCTTCTTTGAAACATGGGCATGTGGAGTTATTGTTATATTTGTTATATTTTTCAAACTGATTTGTTTGTCTGAAATAATTTTTTTTTCATTGCCATTGATATGTAAAATTAAAGTTACAAATAATACTTATATTTATATATTTATTTATAAGAGCCATAAATATATATAATTTATTGCTTTAGAATTGTTCTTTAACAATAAATGCAGAGTTTGGAAGAGTCACTATTATACAGAATAGAAACCAATGGTTTTCATTTTAAGGTATGTGCATTGCTGTGGTCTCCTGAGTACAAAGAGATTATTTCTGGACATGGCTACACTCAAAATCAATTAACAATTTGGAAATATCCGGGGTTGACAAAAGTTGCAGAGCTAACAGGTTCCATTTTCATTTTCTCAATTAAAAGTTTTTTAAAATCGTATTTAAATCTTTAATTAAAGTTTTTATTTTTTGTAGCAGTAAAGTTGAAAGACTTGTAAAATATGGAATGATTGTAAGAACAAAATTACAAATGTAATAAAGTTAAAGAAACAACTGTAATCAATCCGTCAGAGGGATATTACTGGTTAAACTAATTTATTAGTAAAGTTTTAGCTTTCCTTTAAATAAAGTAGTTGAAACAATACACCTTATGGACAGAAATGTATACTAATTAAACCACATATTTCTAATTTTATTTCTAGTTAATTTTTCCCATTCCCTCACAATCATCCCAGTATCAATTATAATTTATATTACACGCCATAAGTCGGTGTAATGGATTTTATGCATTTCTAAATCACCGGGTTAGGATTATCAAAACTTCAGATTAACTTGTTACATTTATACTTGGAACTAAATTTTATCAGGTCACACAGCAAGGGTGTTGCATATGTGCCTGTCTCCTGATGGTACCACGGTGGTCTCTGCCGCTGCTGATGAGACTCTGAGATTGTGGAAATGTTTTGATGTGGATGCCGCCACCAAGAAAAACAAATCTAAATCTGTAACTAAAGATAACCCATCCAGTTTACTAATGCATTTGAGATAAAATATTAATCTCGTTTATTGATGTTAAGCAACTTATCAATTAATGTTTTTAAAAAAAATAATAAACTCATAATATTGTATAAGTATAAGGAGTTTATTGACAACTAAGTTACAGAAAAACTTCAATGTTTAGGGAAAAGTTAATTTTTCATAAGTTTTAAGCGCATATTTATAAAGCAACTGTAACTTAACTAGAGATACACTTTATAAATATTTATATTTCTTTTCACAGTTTTGATGCTTCAATTTACTTCATCATTTATATACATACATCTTTTCTGAGAACATTTATTCTTTTTTTTATTGATTTAGCAAGCCCATAAAAAAGAGATTTACAACAAAAAAAATTAAATTAAATTTTTTTTTTTTTTTTTACTATTGAATAGTAGTTTTATTTTATTTAACAGATTTGATACATGGCTTCAGATTGCTGTTGAGCTTGATATATGAAACGGTTTTACTATGAATAATAATATTTAACAGTTGCTTTAACTTTTCGTGATTGATGCAATCTTTCCAATATTTTATATTAAGAATTTTTTTTTCTTTATGATGTTGTCCATTATTTAACTTAAATTTTGTGATGTTGAAGACCTTATTCACGATTAAATGAAAAAAGATTAGATGGCATAATTACGTATGAAAAATTGGGGAGAAGTTCAGTGTTTCAGAAGGGAAAAGAAAGATATCTTTTTAGTTTTTAGGTACCGCTTTGTTCAGTTCAATAGTGTCATTCTGACTTCTCAGATAAGGTTAAATAATCCTTCATAATAAGCAAAATGGTTAAAAAATGTTCTGGTTAGGGTGTGAAAAGTATATCTTATACATAATGTGAAAAAGTAAAATTCATCAAAATGAGTCATTAAAGGGTGGAGGGTTATTTTCTAAATCCTTTATATAACTTCGCTTTTGTGTGGTTAGGGAAAAATCTTCGGGCCGCTAATTGACACCCACTTCCCGCCAAGCTATCCAGCTGACTCTTTGCCGAAGACAACAAATTTTATCAAATTTTAAGCCCCCTCCCCCACCCAAAAAAAAAATCAGTTTTCCTTTTTCTCAAGGGGAAGATGAAGGAAATATCTCACTGATTTCATGAAATAATATTTCAGATAACTGCACTAAATGAGATTCTTTTTTTTAAATATCGCAAGCACGTTTGGTGTATAATATTCGCTTGTTTTTCTTAAATAGTTTTTGAAATAAATCGGTGCCAAAGCAGGTGGGGCATTAAAATACTAAAGTAGAATAAAATAATATTAATAACGAAGAACTTTTTTTTTAGGGGGGTGGGTTCATTTCTTTTCTTACTAAGCATTTACATTAAAATGCATATTTAATTTTGTAAGATGGATTTAATGGAATGTTACAATTAGTCTGATCTTATTTGTCTCTAGAATCTTTTGTCTAAATGTTTTTGATGTTTCATGCTCAGTTCATATGATCAAATTTGCATAAAATTTCTTTTTTAATTTTAATAACTATTTTGTGTTACATTTGATCATGTGAACTTAGCATTTATGAACATATCATTATCAAATAAGATTAAGATTGCATTTCAAAGATGTTATTATCTTAATATTCTTCTTAAAGAGAATTCAGAGATAAGCTGCTTAAAGCAATTAAATTTTGCATGTTAATTCTTCCTTGTGGCCCCAAACAGTTTACTCCATTTTTTCTTTCTTCTCATAAAGCTATCTGTTGAACTTGGTCCATCTTTCTGTTAAAATGATTTACATGTATAATGTTTTCTTTAATTTGCTTGAGAAAGCTCATTAGGGCTACAAGAGTGATATTTACGAAAGTTGTTTTATATATTTGTATACATCACATTGTGTTGCTTTTATTTTATGCCTAGAAAAAATTTAAAACTTTGCAATGTGAGAACATATTTTTTATTTGATTCTGTTTAATAAATATTTTTTTGTGGTATAGCATATCATTGGCTTTTTCATTTAAAAATGAATTTATAGCTTAGAATAAATTTTATTTAATTTATTTGCTGGTATAATAAACAAAAAATGTATATGTATCTAAATTTAGTTTGGTCCGCTTTCTCTGATTAAGACTTAAATATTTTTTTTTCTGCATCTGATAATAATGGCTCTTAAACTTAAAGATTACACAGCACCATTTTATTTTTTGTGTGATTATTGATATAAAAAAAAATCCCCTTAATCTTTTTTAAACAATTAATATTTTTGGTTTAGTGTAAGTATAAGAATTCTTCTAAAAGTTCTAAAAGATACTATTGATGCAATAGATTCATTCTTTTATGGTAATTGTTTTAAAGGATTGCAGCAATTAGAAAACTGGCTGATTCTTGATTAATTGGCTGATTGATACCAATTAATTATTATTCATTTTGCTTGGAAATGCCTATTGTAATTTTAAGTTTTAAATAATACATCGTTCTAGCTCATAATTTATCATTCAACCAGTGACATGGCTAGATGTATTGCACAGGCGCAGGAAGATGTCCACCCCAGGCTGAACTTTATTGGGGGCGAATTTTTTAGTCTCCTGCATATACTTAATAAGGCTTATGAAAGATGTGTATTATTAATATGTTGTAGTTTTTCTGAGTGAGGGGCAGCAATACAATTTACATGTCAGTACAATACAATTGTTTATCGGGCAAAGCAGCGCCTGGGAAAAATTCCATCATACACATTTTTTTGTATATGTGCTATTGTGTTTTTTTAAACATAATTTACATCTATTCAAGATAACCCTAAAAACAATTTTTTTTAAAAATCAGTTGTATTTTCATCAGTACAAGATAACCCTAAAACATTAATAAGCTTTTTACAACCAATTAAGTTCAAGTTCTTCAACTTTTTGTTGTCTGAAAGACCTAAAATAGTACTAATAGTGGTGTAACTTGATTAAATGGCGTCCCAGGGGAACTCTGAAAAGTGAACACACTCAACACTTATAATAGTTATAAAGCCCTAAAAGTGCCAATGTGGAGGTCCTTTTGATAGGTTTGCCACTGAAATAGTAGTACCGGTAACCAGAGAAGCTGTGGCTAAGTGTTGCTTTTGCATGTATTTCTATTTACTAACAACATAAGAATTGACCATAATATCAAATACATGTACAGTACATGTGTCTCTTATGGCCAGATACATTCATTTTAAACATGCATAACATCATCTTATGTCACTGGATTTAAGAATAGTTCATTAATAATTAATAACATTAAATTGGAATATACAGATACCTTAAGAGTACAACTTGAATCTGCTTTCAGAACCTGGTTTGAGGTCAAAATCAATCAGCCAAGGACTTAAACTTTTAAAATGTAAAATTTTATTAGACATTCTCATTCAGTCAAAGACTTTTGGCTATATGAGACAAGATGTGAGTGGATCCCTAAACCTGAAGCCAGAAATGAGTGACTTTGTCTAACATACTCTGATGGAGAAGTTAGAGATGTTGACTTTTGACTACATTAGAAATTCAATCAAGGTCTTTTAACTACATTACTGACATTAGGCATTCAGACAAGAACTTTGATTATATAAGACAGACAAGGACTTATGACTAGATTATGATTAAACATTCAGACACAGACTTTCTGTGGGTTAGAGAAACAGAAATATGTTGAAGGAGGGAGATGGTAGCAAGGCCTCGTTCAGAAATGCATAATACTTGGTAGGTAACGCTTTCATTATCGGTGTTTACATTTTAATGACTGCACTTTTAAATAAAATGAAGGGTTTATAGAAGTCTTAGTATAGTTTACGTTGAATATTATGTTTATTTGATAATTTTAAAGTAAAATAAATTTTATATTTCAAATATTACACCTTAGCTTCTTTAACAACTAAACAATTGATATTTAAGAGTATACTTCCATTATTTTAAATAACAAAAATAAAGATAATTAATAGAATTAAAAGAAAGGGAGAATAATTAAAATTTTCCATTCATAAATTATTACTTATTATTCAACATGAGCACGCTTTAAAAAAAACAAACATTATTTTAGACGGCACAATCATTTTAAAGGCCTAACCTAAGTTTTAGTAGGCATTCTTTCAAAACTTCTGTCGTCCAATACAAAATTAGCTTTTGTTTTATATCCTACGGTATTTATTTAGTACCTTTTTTAATTCACATATTAATATACCCCCCACCCTTTTTTCCCCAGTCAAAGGGGGGTAACTGTAAAATTCTTTGCTAGCGGCCATAACAACGAGCAAATTTTCATTGTCAGTTAGTGACGTGCCAATCTACCCATGCTAAAGAATTTTTAAAAAAAATATTTAACAGCGTTCACTTTAACTCATTCTATCGAACATTTAAATAAGCAAATGAAACATGACAAAGGATAGTAAAACAGTCTCTACGATTAGAAGGAGAAAGGGGAAGCAAGTAGCGTTGGCGCTGCAAAAGATAAAAGATGAAAATCCAAAAAAGTCTATTAAAACAGAAGAGCAAGTTGCTGCTATCGAAATCGAGGAGAAATGTTACCTTTTTGATAACAGGGTAATATTTTTCTTCCATTAATGGCATTAGGCCTATATTAATATTTCAGAAGTTTTATACTTATTTTCATCCCATATATAGAATCCCTTTTCAGGCCTAACTAATTTAAGTAATTATTATTAATTAATTATTGTCTGTTTTTTTAAATAACAGTAAAGTGAGTTATGGTAAAAGTAATAGGTCTTATTTTATTCATAAACTTTTAAGTTTCTGACAGTTTTCTAAATAAATTTTAGTGAAAGTAAAACTAAATTCTTGATTTCATGCCTTAACTTGGTGAATGGATAAATTTGAATTGTATATTAGTTATTAGTATTAGTATTAGTACTTACTACTCAAGATCGGCTTTCTTTCTTTTAATTTAATGTGTCAGAGTCAGTATTCATGTTTTTACATTTTTTGGCCTTTTTTCGCATGCTACACCTACATTTTGCAAGCGACACACAGTTTGGAAAGCATTTTTATGGGCAGTAATTGTTCATTTTCTTAAAATTAAACTATCACTTTAATAAATAATTTATTTGAACATTTTTTGATAAACTCAAAAACTTATATAAATTATAATATAAGCTATAATCTTAAGCTTCTACTGATTTATTTTTTCATATGTCTTATTCCCTGAAACTGAAATTCATTAATAATTTGCAGTAAGTAGGCTATTATTTAATACATTTTAATTTCATTACAACACCAACTATATAATTCTAGAAGATATCTAGACTACCTTATTTAAAATAATAAATAATTAAAATATGTGTCATCCATCAATGTATCAATAGCAACATATAATTATGGACATAAAACTAAATCAACAGGTATTTGGCCCTACGATTCTGAGACAGTTGATGTACAACACCCACTCACTGTACCTAGCACTTTTAGCAATACGATCTGCCAATGCTTTGCTTATTCAAACACAGTATGTTCCAGATGAGTATTGGCAATCTGTTGAAGTTGCTCATAAAATGGTATTTGGGTAAGTAAACTTATATACAGTGTATAGGTTTTTGTAGCATATGAATTATAAGCTAAAGAGGAAACAAATATTTTTTAAACTAATCATGGATATTCTAATTTTATTTGTTCATAAGTTAGTTATTACATATTTTTTTTCAATAATAAAAGTTGGGTGAAATCTTGTAAATTTCCTCTTTAAAAGTATGATCATTTAAGGATTAGCAGGCCCTCATTAGCTTTATTTGTACCTTATTTTAACATTTTCTGCAGTGTATGCCAATACAAGCATTTTGCACTTATATTTTTAAAAATAATGGTTATAGACTATTGAGATAGATATAAAAGATTTCTTTTTATATTGATATTAATAACAACCTTCATTCTCTACTCAGGTATGGTTATCTGACATGGGAATGGAGAGAGGGACTCAGAGGCTATTCTTATCCTCTCATCTTTGCTTTTTTCTTCAAAATATTGGAGTTCTTGGGATTAGACTCAAGAATGATGCTGGTATTAAGTTAATGCATGCATTGAACTTCTTTGATTTGAAAAAAAAATGGAAAAAAAAAATGTATGAAATAATTAATTGCATTTAAAATCATATTGAATTCATAGAATTCCTTCAAAAAACCAACTGACCTAACAACTTTACACTTGTCACACATACAATCCTTAGAATTTATCAACTTACTTAAAAAAAGGTTTTAAATTTAGTTTTTTCTATTTCTTTTGGCAATTTAGATAAAGCTTCCGAGGCTAATACAAGGTGCAATAGCTGCATACGGTGATCTTCAACTTTACAAACTCTCTTCCAAACTCAGTGGGCGAGCCACTGCTCAATGGTCACTCTTATGTCAGGTAAGAATTAAAATGTTATTTCACATATTTGCAAAGTAGAAAATGTGTAGATGAGTCCAAATATGGATCTTAAAACAAGATCATTTTCAATCATTAGTTAAAAGCAAGAAGCAATATGTTTTGTTCAATGTGGACAAGTGTCCTGGGAAGGATATACTTTATATAAATTTGTGATTTCCAAGAATTTGCCATACATGACTGAGGGAAAAAAAGTGTATTGGGGATCATTAACATAGAAATAAGTTGTCACTCAAGGTTATTATGAGAGCATAGATAATGACAGTGCTATTTAGGTTTGGAAGATTAAAAAAAGGTGTGGTTTTAGATGATTCTTGAGATTTATTTATAGTTAAGTAGGGTTTTAAATACAAAATTATTTCACTCTGTTTCAAAGTTAGGTCTGCAGATTTTCAAACTAAAAACATAATATTTTGCCATATGCATAACAGGAACAGAATTTTATTACCGGCTTTCATTAGCAGTTAAAAATTTAGGGGAAAGAACTCTAGAAATTCATGAAAAACAACTTTCTCAATATGAGTACCATTCACCCCTTGAGGCAAAGTCACCCCATATCACCCTAAGCTTCCCCCCACCACCCCCCCCCCCCCCCAAAAAAAACCAACACCTAAAAGTTGACTTAAAAAAAAATTTAATTGTTATCCTTACCAAAGTTAACTTAGCTTTTAAAATCAATATTCTCAGCTCTTTTCCTGGTTCACAATTTATTGCTGTACAAGAACGCTGACCAACTCAACTGAGGCAACACTCGTCATTGCCTCCCTAAGTTATTTCCCTTGGCCTGACTATCCGTCGTAAGTATTTATTGCTGTTGGTAAATCCGTTACCTCAAAATCTCAACTTGTTAAAATTTTGGACCAACACATTTGTTGCTGGTGGATCATGATTTTAAAGTTCACCGTGTGAACTGAATTTATTTCATTTCAGAAAATCCAACGACGTGTATAAGTTTTTAGCTCTAGCTGCACTCTCCGTCATTGTGAGGCCGACATCTGCTCTTGTTTGGATATTCTTATGTGCTTGGCATTTGCAGCGTGTCCGTGGCTCACCAGTGTTTTCAGGAGTGCTCAGCGCTTATGTTACTGTTGGGTAAGCATCAGACAACACCCATCAGCTTAACAATTTTAGCGTTCTACAAACTAGATGTCATGTTAGTTGTTGCTACTTTTTTAAAATAAACTCTCATTAAGGAGATAGTATGTTCATACACTGACAATGCAGTAATGTTTATTGAATAAAGACTTAAAGATGATCACATTATGAAACTCTTAATATAACTGTAACAACAACAAAAAACATAACGGAGAAATAGTGATGTTTGAAAAAAAAAAAACGGAGGTTACAATTAAACTTTAGATAACGGAAGACTTTCATTTTCATGAACTGGTTTTGTGAGCATGGTCGGGTAGTGGATGGAACGTGATGAGTCGGTATGAATTGTTGACCTAGGGCTAGTTATGTGATTGGTTGCGTAGTAAATGGCCATAAACAAGTGAGGCGAATGAATGCTGAGGGAACACGGGGTCGCATTCGCAAGCTCGTTATCATAGTTGTCGTCGTAAGGTGTTAAGTTATTTTGAGGTCAGCATTCCTGAGTGTTCTGTTGTCAGCAGGTGATAGTGAACTCAGATTGGAGTGTCCGCTGATAGGAAGGAGTTTTCATTATGTGCAGCTTGTGGCATTGAACACAGTGCAGTATTAAAGAAGAACCTGTAATTAACTTGTTATTCTCAGTTGTTTGACTGATTATCGATAATTTAATGAGGATGAAAGTGTAAATAGTGCAGGGCTGTTCACGCTCAGACAACACAGAGCCTGTTCAGTAATTGAACCTACTGATGGAGTTTATCGACTGTGAGATGCAAGATGACAAGGACTGACAGCTCATCTATTATAACAATGTCCTTAGACATGCAGTTTTATTGCTTTAAAATAAAAAAAAAACATTTAAAAATATTATATTTACAGAATTCTTGCTCTTGGATCTTCAGCTGTTATTGACCGTATTTGGTATGGATATTGGACGTTTGTTCAGCTCAATTTCCTTCTGTTCAATGTGATAAAAGGTGGTGCGAGTATTTACGGTGTGCACCCCTGGCACTGGTATTTCTTTCAAGGTTTTCCTGTCATCCTGGGAACCTTCATCCTCCCATTTATTGTTGGAGTGTGGAGGGCCAAGAACAAGGCTTTGGCGTGGATAATATTTTGGATACTTGCTACCCACAGGTTAACTCTTTTTTTGGTTTATTGATTTAAAGCTGACAATTTTTTTTTTAGGACAATATTGTAAAAATTAAAAAAAAAAAAAAAAAATTTAAAAACCGCCCATCATATAAGTAAACCTACAATATATTCTCACAATGCTATTCATTTTTAAAAAAAAAAAACAGCTTTCTCCCACACAAAGAATTTCGCTTCATTCTGCTGGCCCTGCCCATGGCCATGCACTACTGTGGGGTCTACTTCCAGACTCTCTGCACACAGCCACCCCTCAAAAAATTCATAAGGTTGGCTAAAGAAAAAAGAAAGAAGGCATCAGAAGCCAAAGTTGATAAAGTCGCTGCTGGATGTGAGGAAAAAACAGACTCTGGCCAAGCCCCAGCAGAAGTGGGCAATGACAATGTCTCAGATGACCAGGGTGATGATAAAAAAACCAAAGGAAATGAAGTTGACAAAACTGTCGATAGCTCGGGAGATGCTGTCAGGGATGACATGCCTAAGGCAGAGAAACAAAAATCTGAGAAAGAGGGTGAGGATCTGTTGAAAGAGGATGAACTATCAGACACTCTTGATCCACTGATTCCTGAGAAAAAATTGTTACATCTGGACACTGGGGCCAAATCTGTGGAAGAATTTAATGCTCACGTAAGATTTCTTTAAAATGAAGTAAAAATTTGACTCATAGCAAACAATATTTTTCTCCTGAACAGATATTCATAATTAACATAAATTTAATGTGTAAGTTTTAAGAACATTGTTAACCCTTGACAAGAATCCATTATAAGAAACATTTAAGTCTATTGCATCAAGTGGTCTTCAGTTCAACTAAATAATTGCTTTGCAATAAGTTAGTATTAAAAAAAAAAATGGGTTTGAAAAATTTCAGACGTTGTCCCTATCATAACAGTGTTTATCTCTGTCAAATGTTTGATGTTTACAACCTTAGGTACTTCGAGATGAACATCACAGGTACAACCTGGCCAAGGCTAAGTTTCTAATACTTCTTCTTGCCTTGACAAACCTGCTGCCGGCCCTATACTTCTGCCTCTTACACCAGAGAGGTACTGTCATGGTGACCAAGTACCTGTATGATGCCAGTGTCAAGAATCTCAACATGAATGTTCTCTTCCTCATGCCCTGTCATTCTACACCTTACTACAGGTTGGTCACACGCTATGTAAACAGAATGAAAACATTTTTATCCCAAAAAGACTTGTTTAGACTCAGCAGATGTCCAGATTCAGTTACATTTTTAGGACATATTGATTTCATAATTCAGCACCTAGATGGTTTAAAAAAAATTATTTTCGATAAATTTTATTAAAAAAATTTGTTAAATGTTGAAAAAAAAAAAAAAAAAATTCAAACTTAATTAATCAAGAGATATAACTTTATCTTACAGGATGTCTCACAACACAAACCCTTAACCCTTTGACACCAGTGTTTATATTTCATGTGTTTGTCAAAGTAGGCCAAACATTGAAAAGATTTAAGAACCTAAGCTTTTTAAATGTATAAAATTATGAAAGATAAAAAAAAATTACACTTAAGAATTTATTGTCATAAATATTTAAAGAACTACAAATAACTGGCCAATGGCAGGAGGAATGTGTGAACTTCCAACTTTTAAAGTTACTTGACAAATCTTGTTTTCAAGTAATGCACTTTTAAGAATCCCAATTAGTGCCAATGTCTGGGAATTTTATTTTGCACACCTATAGAACGCAGAGTTACAGCAAAGTATACATGCATACCTAGAGAATTATTATTCGTGGTTAATCAATTAGGGATAAAATGTATTTTATATAGAAGGTAAACTCTTTTAAAAATCTCCACATTTTTAATTTTATTGGAATTATATTTTCTTAATTAAAGATGTTTAAGAATAAGTTATTTTCATACTAATAAATAATCCCGTAAAATAATGAGGAAATAAACAATGTGAAATAAATTTAGATACTTTGAAGGAGGACATTCCACATTTAACACAGCTCTCCACTTCACTCCTGCTCAAACCTTCACTGAAATCCATTATCATCCCCAACTGTGGATATTTTGTCATTTTCATAATTGTAACCTCTATCAAAATTTTTTTTAAAAAGAAACAACCTCGCCATTCAACAAATCTGCTAACCAGCACTGGACCAAATTATTAAAATAATGTCAATTGCTATTAGAAATGTTAGCAACTAGAAGTGAAACCTTACTATGATGGTAAACAGCGACTGGTTATAGTTGTACTCTACATTCTCTCAACTTTCAAGCTTACTTTTAATGTGATTGCCACTCAAGTCTAATGCAATAAAAAAAAAAAGTTTGGATTTAAATTCCACTGAAGGCAAAGGGGATTAGAAATTTCTTGTCACCTCCAATGGTTTATCCACACAATGTCATTTCAACTCTATAAATTATCATGTTATTTATTACAATTCTATTTTAAAAAAAATTATATTGTCAACAATGTCATTATAAAAATACTGACTAAAATTATTAGAAAACCTTGGTGTTGATTATGAACAAAGACTATTTTTTAACACCTGCCCAAAGTTTAAATTAAGTTCAATGCCCTCTACAGTTACATTCATCTGAATGTCACCATGAGGTTCCTGACCTGTGAACCCAACCTGCTGGGCCACACAAACTACACAGAGGAGGCTGATCAGTTCTACCAGGACCCCAAGGCCTGGCTGCTCAAAGAATACTCCAGCTCTAAGCGAGTTTGGCCAACACACCTCGTCTACTTCAACACGCTGCACAATGAAATCCTCAGCGTGTTGACACAAGGCGGCTACAAACTGTGTGAGCAGTTCTTCCATACTCACGTGCCGGAGGGAAGGGTTGGTGAAAGCGTTTTTGTCAGCTGTAGGTGAGAGGTCAGGGTCAGAGTTCATAATGCGTGGCCATCACAGCTCCCCATTTTAATTGTAATGCCGGGAGGAACTTGTTGTACATAATGTTGTTAGTGATGAGTGACAACGAAAAGAGACAATCACTGATTTTATCTCATAGTTTAAGTTGGTTTAAAATTTCTAACAAATCTATGACCATCTAATTAAAAATTTAAAAAAATTAAAGTGATAAAAAATATGCAGTTCACACTGAAATTACAAGATGCATTTACTTAAATTGTTTTTTACATTTTGTTGTGTCATTTTTAATGTTTTTGAAGTTGTTTTGATTGAAAATAATTGAAGCTGAAATTCTTTAGCTATCAAATTATTTACTTTATGAGGAATTATTTAGCTCTGAAATTGCATATTATAATAGAGGCATAATAATAAATTCATTGATATTTTTCAATACAGTAAGACTAATCATGGGCTGAATATCCCCATTAACAAAAGGCTAAAATACCAAATAAATGTAATTTTTTATGGCTGTTACAAGGTTTTGGCTATAACATGACAACAATAGACCTTTAAAAATCATTAACAGATTATTGAGAGATATTTGTTATTTTAATACTATATTTTATTAAATTATTGACAGAAAATATGATGCATTAAGTCAGATGTTATTATGGCATGTGAAATCAGTTGCAATTGGCATCAAACATCTCAGCAAATTTTGTTTACTCCCCTATTGTCAATTTCTTAACCATTGAATTTGTTGTATCACATTGGTATAAATTTTTCCATGTTCATCTTACACTTTTTATTTAGCATTTTTATCTTGTAACAAGCAGAGTTGAAGAGATGAAATTAAAGATTTAGAGCTGAACATGTAGAGTTGAAGATATAGAAGTCAAAATTTAGAGCTGAAGATGTAGAGTTGAAGATATAGAAGTCAAAATTTAGAGCTGAAGATGTAGAGTTGAAGATATAGAAGTCAAAATTTAGAGCTGAAGATGTAGAGTTTCAGATGTAGATTTATTTTTTTAACATTAAAAGTTAAATCTTTCAAGCATAATCTTTTACATTTATTGGACTCTTTCAAGCTGTTATTTTTAAACAACTTGTTGGTTTATACAAATATCTTTATGTTGTTAATCAAAATCATGTAAATTATCATTCCTAAACTATTTTATTCATCCACCATTTTTATTCTTTTAAAAAAAAAAAAAACAGTTTTAATTTTTTTTCTGTACACATGACTTAAACAACACCATGATTTCTTTGTGTTTCATTTCCTATATTTTATTAAGAGCAAAATATAATAAATTCTTTAACTTAAAAAAACTTTAAAAAAAATATTTTAACTTGTTGATGATTGCAATTTATGTAAACACTGCTGATCTAGTCTCATGCCCATTTATATTGGGTGTTTTTCTGTTGTAGTTTTGCAGCCAAATTAATTTTTGTACACATGTTAATATAAAAGGATAATAAACAACTAACAAAGGTGCTGTGTTATCCTGTAGCCGAAGCTATAACCTAAATCCATGTCTCTTCATGCGAGGTGTGTAGCTCAAATCAGACATGGTGAACAATTGTTGCAGATTTTTCAAACACATATTAAGAACCTTCACAAAATTAATATTGGAGTATTTGACAAATTTAGCTAAACCTTATTTTCAAATCCTAAACAGTTTAACTATACCATCTGATATTAATAGTTTGAATGTATTGACTTTACTTTATTTAAGAAGTAAAGTTTTTTTTAGTTTTTTGTTTTGGCAGAATTGATCAAATGCCTTAGTTTAGTTCCCACAACGTTACCAAAAAAATGTTAATGCAGAATAGAACTGTTAAAAAAAAATATTTGCTACATTTTATTTGATATTGAAGCCAGACGTTTCATTTTACATATACTGATTTTTGATGATTTGTGTAGTTTTTTTTAACAGTTTGTGTTAGCTAGTAACCAAATACTTGACTGTATATTTAAATTAACATTTAAAATAAGTTGCTCAATGTTGTTGAATTAAAAATAAATTTCAGAAAATATTGACCTGTCCTTGTTTTTAAAAATTTTTTTTTTAAAAAGTATTTTATTTAATCATTTTACAGTAAGAAAATGTCTTATATTTTAGTGAGATGTTCAAAATGATGTTCAAGATCGTTTATGATGCGGTTGGTATTTAAACATTAAATCACATAGATGAACTACAAGCTAACTAAAGAAAGGACTTTCTTTTTCTCTCACAGATTCAGCACTGAACTTTATCAAAATGTTTTCATGGGATTAAATCAGTTGTCTCAAATACGCCGCCCGCTGCCATTTACGACCCACAAGACGATATTTATCGGCCTGCTACATGACAGCAAAGTTTAGTGCTAATGTGGCCCGTGTGTTTCCCCCATTCTCATATCTATAATGTGACCCTGTGCGACTGTTTCAGTCGAATCTCACCGACTAGTCTAATTCTGATTTTTATTATGTTTGCATAGATTTGGACGTTGATTACAATGGTAAAAACCGATTTAAAATGGAGCTGATTGATCTTAACTGCAATTCTGAACCGAAGACTAAGTTTAAGGAGGTGATTGGAGACACAGACAAGTGACAAGCATGGAAAATTTATAACAGCATTGCCGTCCACCTTCCCTGAGATTTCCAGGTTGTTCAAGCAGATCATGTGCCTTTTTGGGAGTACCTAAATGTGTGAAAAGCTCTTTTCCACTATGAATGCTAACAAGTCAAAGTTCAGGGTCAAACTTACTGATGGGCATCTTCAAGCTACACTGAGGGTCTCATTTGCTCCTCACTCCTCGCTCAAGCCAAATGTTGCTCAGCTGTTTAAGGAGAAGCGCTGCTGGGTCTCTGGCAAAAAGAAGTAGGAAGAAGAAAGTGAAGCCTAGTTCTTGAGAACCCTTAATGTTTTTATTTATTAATAAAGGTTGAGCAGATTGTAACAGTTTTACTTTTATTGAATTTGTAATCGCCTTTTTGTGGAATACTTGATGCGGCCCAGTCTCAGACAGACTCTTCCTCCTGCGGCGCCCGGATGATCTGAGTTTGAGACCCCTGGATTAAATTGTGGCATCAAATATTTGAAAACCTAACTCTAGCCTAATATATCAACCAGACCCAGTTGTGGACTGGAGTGTCCAAGTTGCCCAGGACAAAATCTGGCAATAGAGATTTAAATTAAATATTTGATACGCAACTTTTATTGTAATCTACAAGGGCTCTGTTATCAATGGTCCTGGTGGACGAACAGGATTTTTCCTGGTGGCCCATTCCACCCCTTACCAGACCTGAGATGTATTTCTTCCAGATTCTATTTTTAACTCTGTTTTTAATGCTGTTGGATATGCCCCACATCCCCCTCCGCCTTTTCCCCCTCCCCCAAGAGATGGCACTTAAACTCTGAATCAAAGAAGTGATTAAATTTCATTGTTTATAAGACCTTTTGAACATATTTCATGCATTCACAGAGTCTTAGAATCTGTTATGCTAATTTATGATTGACTCCGAACTAATACAAGTGTTTAAAAATTTTTAAAAAAAATTAACGATTGCATAAATTAAAAATAATGATACCGGGATGTTTTTATGAACTCAACACTATGCTATTTGCCAGACATGTTGGATATGAGGCTTGGAAAAAAACAACATACATTTAAACAGCAGCTATATAAAGAAACATTTCTTTTCTCTCCCTTATAAATAATGATACAGGGATGTTTTCTTTGAACTTATCACTATGCTATTTGCCAGACATGTTGGATATGAGGCTTGAAAAAAAACAACATACATTTAAACAGCAGCTATATAAAGAAACATATCTTTTCTCTCCCTTATAAATAATGTGACAGTGCCCTTCCAGGGTGAGTAGAAATAACAAGTAATCGCTGACACATGATCAAGGTATATATAAAAAAAAGCCAATATTACAAACTAGTCACATATAACATTCAACTTCAAACATTTTGATGAATTCATTAATGTGACAATGTGAACAATTTGAACAAATCTTGAATTTCAATGTTGGGACCTTAGAGATGAGCAATATTAGCAAAAAAATAATTGAATAAGTTACAAAAGGGAGGTGATTAAAAATTAAAAAAAAAAAAATCACCAAAATGAAATTTAATTTGAACACAAGGTATTTAACTAATAATTAACAAATCAAGCTGTCAAGGGTAATGCAATGAATGCAATGCTTTATAAACATTACAATCCTATGATTTAAAGGCCTGGAGGTAATAATGAAGAAATGAAATAAATCAACTGCAGACATTGAAATGAGGTTTACTAATAGAGGTGTCAGGTTAATAGAAAAACAGAGCTTTGCCAGACAACAGTGGTTCTCAACATTTTTTGTTAAATGATAGCGCCCTCTCCCCCTCACAAACTGGCCATCTGCATTGTATGGAAGATCACATTAATTTTTTTAAAAATAGATAGGCCCTATTTTATTTTTAAAGTATCTATTTTTAAACCCATTTCCTGTCTTCTGTAACCGGATACACGTGACGGCACACGTTTAAATTGCCTTTACCATCAGTGGTGGAACAGAATTATGTTTAGGTCTACCTCGTATTGTATAGTTAAAACAATAGCGGAACATTGCAAACAATAAATAAACGAACCTATCTGGCACGGATTCCCCCCCCCCTCCAATCGGCCTTTTTTCCCACCCACAATTTTTTCATAAAAATTTTTTTTTTGTTCTAAAAATATAATTTTTTTGTCTTTCTTTCTGGATGCAGACTTTTAGTTTACAATGTAATGTTTGCAAAAAAAATTTTCTAACATAAAGTAAAAAAAATAAAAAAATTAATAAACATATTTAAAAAAAAAAAAGACTTCATGTCAGTTATCTCTAATTTATTATGTAAAGTGTATACGAGACAAGTCACGATTTGTGTAAATGTCTATGTAAATAGTTAAATTTGCTTCCCAGTCTCAAAGAAAATAATGATCACTTAAATAGAGTGTAGAGCTGGCTTAAACAAAATGGGAGAGAATTGTAGGGCAGCGTATGGTCAACATTAGTCTAAGCATTCGCTGCAAACATCATGTCGAGGCTCTGTAAATGTTTTGGATGATTGATCCAATTTTTTTCTGGTACAGTAAACTTCAAATTTTACACAAGGCAAATGTTGCATGCATTTGACACGTTTGAAGCCCCCCCCCCCCCACCACCCGAAGCTGAATTACGTACATTTCCGGAGATGTCTTTGTGTTGTCTTTCACTATACGAGAAGATAATAAAACCTTTTTATCTTCTTTCTTTTATCTTCATATATATACTTTTTAAAAAGAAGAAGAAAACAGGCTTTTGGTAAAAAATACCCGAAGCTGAATTACGTACATTTCCGGAGATGTCTTTG